GTTTGGGGCTTTCATGGGCTTGCACTACCGTCCCCACCGGCCGGTGAGCTCCTGTGGTGCCGAGATACTTATGCCATGGTAGTGTAGTCACCCTACCCTTTCAAAGAGCCAGAACGTTTATTAGAGTTGTAAAAGCACCAAGCTACACTTCTATAGCAAAGGCATTGGCCGGCTCGCGTTCTCTATTCTTGAAGGCATTCGCCAGATCTCCCCGTCTTCCCCACCGCGCGACTACTCAATCGCTCGATCGTACGAGCGATAGCTCGCGCGAGGCACAAAAACCACCGTTCAACGACAGTTTTGAAGGCTTTTGATTGAATCAGAACTGATCATTCTTTGGTATTTCTATTTTAAATATTCAAAATCGTTCCATTTTAGGGGCACCCCCCTTTACTTGGATACTTCCTTGAACATAGCCTAAGTTTCGCAGCCACAATCTTGTGGCTTTGGGCAGTGGCGCATAAAATGCGTAACAACCACTTAAGAAAGGCTGGCCTCACATTAGGCCAGATTTTTCTGCAAATATATATACATCAAGTCGAAACTTTGTGTCAGTTTGGACACCATTTCTTCAACGTACATACAGTACATGCCCTCGGCAATAGCATCTTGAAAACATTGGGATAGCAGATATAAATACACAGAAAGACTAAGAATCCAATGAAATTTCCACAAACAGTTGACATTTTAGAAGGGCGTTTTGGTTTCGAAGATGTCAACACATAACGTTTTGAGGTTGGTCAGAAAGGCTTCTTTTTTAGGCTTTCAAAAATGGCTGGAAAAGACGTGGGGATCTCACCAAAATAATTTACACCCTCCCGCGACGCAGGCATCAACTGCGGTGGCGAGAGTATCTTTTCCTTGTTGCTGAGCACGCACAAGTCGAGAAAAAATAAATTGAAAGTGACCTCATATGAGGTCACTTGTCGTTTACACACTAGACACTAGTGTCTAGACGACCGGCAATTTGCCTCATATGAGGTCAGGCTTGTCCTCATATGAGGCCGTTTTTTTTTGCAAAAAAGTATACATTAAATCGAGATTTTATAAAATCAGTTTAGACACCATTTCTTTAACCAATATTCCCTCGGCAATAGCTTCCTGCAAAACATCGGGATAGCAGTTATGAATACACAGAAATACTAAGAATCTAATATAGTTTCAACACTCGGATGATATTTTAAACAGGCGTTTTGGTTTCGAAGATATCAACAAAAAACGTTTTGATGTTCTTTAAAAAAGCTTCTTCTTTAGGTATTCTCAAAAAGCCTGGAAAGGACGTGCAGATCTCACCAAGCTCCACCCTTCCGCAGCGCAGAAGTCAACTGCGGTGGCGAGAGTATCTTTTTCCATTTTGTTCAGCTAGCACAAGTCGAGAAAAATTAAGTTGAAAAGTGACCTCATATGAGGCCATTTGTCACTTAGACACTAGTCTAGCTAGATAGAGAGGCGAGACGTGTCCTCACACAAATGAATACAATAACCGCATGTTACTGTTAATTACTGGGTGTTGTGCGTTTCCGAAGATCCTCTGATTAGCGCCTTCTCGATATCGCCACATGCGCATTGCAGAACAGGCAAAATATGTGAGCTGTTCTCGTAAGGATATGATACTGGAGCACATTCTTGCAGTACTATATCTGAAGACCAGCAAATCTGTTTATATGCAGCCGTAGATAATAGCTATCGTCAATAGCCAGAAATTCTCAAGGCTCGACGCGTTATCCAATGAGCCTGTGATGTTACTCTTGAACGAAGGAATGCTGCCTGAAGAACACGTGTAGATAGTGGCTGTAGGCGAAGCATACAAAAAAATCATAAAGAGAACTAGGCTGCGTACGGTGTCATCGCCATGGTTCAAGAAGCAGATACAGCATGTCCAATGATTTCGCGCCGTCAACTCACAGGTCTAGTGACAGCGGCAGGCTCTACATCGCGTTGCAACCCAAGCGCTACCTGCGTATGAGCTTTCAATTGATTTTTATTGATGCATCGAGATATGCCATGACTACTGAAGTACACATTTCTTGTCGAGCAGTGGCAACAGGTTGACTGTGCATGGCTAAAGGCAGACTATGCTTGCTTTCTAACAACTAAATGGGCGTGGAGAGGCCTAGGGATTGTATAAGTGACGGGCGACACAACCTATTCGATAGTAACCCTAACTGTACAGTAAACTGGTGCTATCTTGCACAAGCTCTACTTGCTTTACGCAGTTCGTGAAAGCGCAGAAAGCTCACCTCTCAATCTTGAACCGCGACCGCCCTGCTGTGGTATACAACGTTTTCAATCACCAATTGCATCTATGACTCGGCGGTAAGAATCCACCCAGGGCAGAACTGAGGCCAATTGAGGGCCTACATGATTCGTAGTCCCATGTCCTTCCCCCCTGAAATGGAGTCAAGCCCCACTTTGCATGGCATGCCATCTGCTCATAAATTGACGACCTCATTGTGGTAGTAAGCGGCGGGAAAGAAACGCACGCTTGAAGATCACTCCACATGGAGTTCCATTCACTGGTTGATCGGGCCAAAGTGCGGGCTCGAATAGTTGGGCGCATGCTAATCTTCCATCCACATTCGAGTTTCTTTACCCCGGCTTTCGACATCCAGTTGCTGCTGCAATAGTTATCTAAGCCCTCTGTTCCGGATGAGCTGGAGCCAGAAGAACTGCTTGATCCCGAGGAGCTCTGCCTAGCAGGGAGCTTTTTCGGTAGCTGAGGCCGCATTATCGGCATGGACAGCGAAATAGTGCTGAGGTATAAGAGAGTAGCCGAAATGGCAGCAAATGAGACTTTGGTCATGATGATATAGCCAGAGGAACCAGTGGTATCACAGCAGATTGAGTGAGAGATGAAATGAAAGACTGCTTTGTGCGAGGATCGTACTAGAACACTGCAGTGTTGCCTATTCCGTACCACCGTTGATATAGTCTTTTGTAGTTCATGGCGTCTCCGTAGCAATTTTTTCAGGAACTATGAAACGGCACGAAACTTTGCCAAAGTTGCTTTTGTCGCAGGTCAGTTGATCTCTAGTTTTATGAGCCAGAGAGCAGGCATCCCGAGACATACACACAGCGAGTGGGGATGGCTGAAGGCCTCATGAACACATACTGTCGCTGGCCGGCGTGCCATTTGCCGAGAGTGTACGCTCTGCAAATGACACGCCGGCACAATAGTGGACAAACGCGGGTGGTAAAAATTTAGGAAATAAGTGTCTCGTTTGTTTGACGAGATTCCGGAAGTACTGCCGTCAATAACAGAACAAGCAGCTACATCCTTCAGAAATCGCTGTGAACCCCGATGCAGTCGCTCGATAGCTGCCCTTGAATTGTACCGGTGGGCATAGATATTGTTATTGGGACGTACACGATTATCGAAATTGTCTCACGGCTGGCACAATTATGGCACAATATCAACCAGGGGACAACCTGCGATATCAGGGTTTGTCAACAGGGAGTGCGATATCTTATATCAGCACTCGGCGGAATATCCGCACTCAAGGCCGGTGGACAACCCATACGTGTCTTAACAGCACAGTGCGACAATGTCGGCCGACAGAGTCGCGATCAGGAGAATAGGTCCTGCGCGGTCATCCGCTCCGAGACGTCTGGCCCTGGCCCCGTCTCATTTTTGCCCCTGGTGTTGGGTCCATGACTCAGCTCGCCTGGTATGCCGTGTTGTAGCGCATTTTTAATCGTTTAAATATCATTGGTGCGCCACTGCCAACAGTGGACGAAGCATGATGGAATCGCTACGGGAAATACCTGTCACTGTAAGTCCAGTTATGCTTGTGACCACGTCTTTCCAAAACTTGCACAGACGTTTATAGTTTCGCCTAAAATTTCCGCAAACGTTTTAATGCGAGGGTGCACGTCTCCAGAAAGTTTCTGAGTTTCGCAGAAAAAGTTGCTCAAACTTTCGGCAGCACTTTGGGAACCTTTGAAACTTCAGAAACATTCATCAACCTTTTCAAAGATGCCGGATCGCATTACAGCTCCGATCGAGGGTGGATGGAAATATTCCTTCATTGAGGCCTTGCTTGCAGGATCCAACAAGGTCCACCACCGGGACCAATGGGAGTGCCGTTTGAGGCGAATATCAGAAAAATCAATTGTCAACCAGGATTTTACGGAGCCATGAGCCCTGGTAGTTGGGACCAAAGTTGTATGGCTCTGGGTCACAGGCTCTGGTACCCAGGGCCATTATTGGGACGTATTCTCCTGAATGCGACTCCGACACGCAGTATGTCGCCAAACGCAGCGTACAAGCTCCTGCATGTGTGGTGATATTGTAGTGATATTGAAGATCATGCCCAGTTCTCGCAATCTTCTAAAAAACTACTGTTATGAGAAAACTACTGTTATGGACGGTGCCCTAGTAGGGCACCTGCGATAACACTACTGCTAACACTGTTAGCATTGGGTACTGTTAGCCTAACAATACCCAAGGGTAGTGTTCGTTCACCTTCGATAACAGTAGTTTTTCACAATATTGGGGAACGGATGAAACGAAACAGGCTGGGTATGAGGGGGTGTGCGGAGGCGATCTCGACGGAGACAGTTTCGACGTGTAATTTTTTTTTAATTGGGTATGCTTTCCTCAGGGGTCAGCCGAGAGACAAGTGTGTTGTCACACGGGGCACACTCGGGCCGATATCACCTCTTGAGAGGTCAGGCCGGCCTGAGATCAGGCCTCCTATGCGCCCTCGCCTCCGCCTCGAGGCGCATGTCCAGCCCTCGAGCTGATATCAGCTCAAGAGGGCGGATATCAATATCCGCCCTCTTGCCCCGTGTGACAACGCATACGTGTTGCCACATCTGACAGCCATGCAGGGTTTGTTCGGCGGGTTTTGTTCGGCGGGTTTTGTTCGGCGGGTTTCTCCGTCCCGCCCCCCCCCCCCCCCACGCCCGCTTCTTCCTTCCTCCCTCCCTCCCGCCCGCCCCGCGAAGACGCAGGTGACGTCATGAATGAAACGCATGTCCACCCGAGGCGTTTGACGTCACGACTCGCGACTCGCCGCCGCCGCGCACGCGTGAAAGCCGGTCGCTTCCGTGCTTACACTTGCGCGCGCGGAAGAGAGGAGCACCGGGGCACGGGGCGCGGGGCAGCCCCCCGCGGGGCAGCCCCCCGCGCGCCGCCGCGGCGCAACTGTAACCGCGGCCGCGTCGCATCTTTGAGCCGCCGCCGCCGCCGCGAGGGCGAGGGAAAGAGAGAGTCGCGCTACACCGCTGTATTTCGCACATTCGCCGCGCCTGCGCGACCTTGCTCGCCCGCGGCGAAGACACGCCCCTCGCCCACCCGCAATACAGTCCTCCATCACTGTATCTCGCCCGCGTTGCGCCGCGCTACGTCATACCGTATAACGTAGGTGGCATTCCCGCTCTTCCCGTTACCCTCCTGTGGGGAATTCTGTTCCAGCGTGTTTGCAAAGTCTCGATGTGAAACGAAACTACATTTCCATTCGGCAATCTTCTTCTGCGTCTTCCTCGTCCTCCTCATCGGTAATGTTGTCAGAGCCATACTCGGCCGAGGAACTCGATATGCTTGACGTGTTACCGAGCTTCTTCCTATCCGAATTGACGTCTATCGCCTGAGCCCCATTCCTTCCCCCTCGGACCTTTCCCATTTGCTTTCCAAGCTGGGCTGCTGCCGTGCCACTTGACATATCGGCAGACGGGCTCCTCGCAAGGAATAGCAACCCCTCCAGTGCCTCGTGCTCCATTTCCCCTTCACTAGCAGTCGGGACGCTTGATGGTCGCACTTTTCGACTGCGATTTCTGCGGGAAGAGCTCAACTGACCCTCTTCTTTTGGGCACCACCCCGGGTGTTGGAGCATCCAAGCTTCAAGATTTCTGCGATACGGAGCCGCATTTCCGGAGATCGTCCGGCCATTGCTGGGATTCCACACCGTCACACGAGGTTCACGAGGTGCGCGAAATGATTTTTCGAGAAATGAGGCACCCAAGTTCCCACGGAAAGAAGGCAAAGAATTGGGAGCAAAGGCCTCAAACCCGGCCCCGTCATTCTCATATGAGCCCACCGATGCAGGCGCATCCACCCCTGCGTAGTCCACGCCGCCAAACGAAACGAAACTAAATGAGCCTGGCATGCTTGTGTTGCCTGCCAGTTCCCGCTTACTCTTCGCGATTCCACGCGTCAACATGTGATGCGCACACGAAACTATCGTGCCCTGCAACTTTGCACCCCCTATCTGGCTAGCCACATCGGCCCAGCGATTGTCATCGAGTTCCGCTGGGTTGCACTGTTGCGCATGACATTCTTGTCCAAGACGGAACAGCGCTTCCTGAAGTCGAACAAAATCGTCGGCCGTCCAAGTCATCATGGCCTCCTCGGTGCAGAAATCTTCATCGCCGAGTGCTTCCAAGCATCTCGCTCCATCGCTCGCGAGAAAGCTGGCAACGGGATAACAGCAGAGGGCCGCGAAAGAATCTGCAGCGCTCTTCGATCTACGTGCTGCTGAGCGCCTCTTCGATGACTTGAGCTCATCGGCTTTTTCCTCCCAACCGGGATGTCCTTGCAACCAGGTGGCAAGATTACGCCTGTAGGGAGCAGCGTTTCCTGCGACAGTCTTTCCAGTCTGGGGTTCCCAGACAGTTACATGCTCGTCCTCGGCCGAAACGCCTCCAAACAAGGTTGCGGGAAAGCTGGGCGTGAGGCTCGGCATGGACTGGGGGATGGCTGCAGTGGGTGAAAACGAGATGATGTGGGAACCAAGTGCAGTGGACGCACCCAAGGAAGGGTCGATGGGGGGACGAGAATCTCCAGGGATGCGGGAAGCGGAGGGACGTGGAATCTGCACCGGGGCTGAATGTGCGAAGGATGGAGTTGTCGGAGAGGATGGCTGCTCTGCGGAAGCTAAGGGCAAAGAATCGAGGCTTGCCAAGTTTGATGCGAGATCCAAGTTAGAAGATTGCGCAGGGGGAGCGGCGGTGACGTTGATGATTGGATTGAACCTCGAGGATATGATGAGATGCTGAGAGGCTTGAGGCGGGGGTGTTGCGGCGGATGAGGAGCGAGATTGTTTGAGCTTGAACATGGCCGGTGCATAACCGGTGGGAGGAGCAAACGCGGATGGCGAGGTGGGCTTGCCGATATTGGGGCAGAAGACTGAGGGAGAGCCTGCAATCGGGACTGGCATGCTTTGTGTAGGAGGATTTCTATCATAGAAGGGCACACTCTCCAAAAGTCGAGACAGTCCATTTGCCTGATATCAGGCGTCATAGCAGGCTGTGTAGTACACTCTTTTGGACCAGCAACCCGCGTGCGACCACATCTCGTTTAATTTCGAAACGTAACCGTGGGTTTCGTGCCTATTCTGGACATCTTTGTATGTCTTAAGTTAGAGTTAGTGAGCTAGTTAGTTGTCGGCGAATTCAGGAACCATGGATACATCGTTACTTTCGTCTGCAGCCAATGAGTCGGAGGCTTGTCGTGAGGCGGCATCGAAAATATGTCATCGTCCTCGTCGCTATCATTGTTTAGGGATGTGCCTTCAGCCGCTGTAGATAGACCTTCATAACTGAAGAAATCACCTTTCCCTTGCCTTCTCGTCCTTCCTAGTCTGGGGCGGAAGCGGAAGTTGGTCCGGGCCCTGGACCAGTGCCACTGGCCCTCTTGCCTCATGTGAGGCAAGAGGTCAAGATCCAGAGCCTGAGGATATCACAGTAACCTTGTTCAGTGCTCTCGCGCAGCCCCGAGATAGAGTCTATCCTCCATCTGATTGACATCGCTGCTTTTCCCAGGAGCCTCGAAAGTACCCTATGTTGAACGTGACAGCTTTTACAACGGCACACGTGCGCATTACCACGACGCACAAGTTGGGAACGTGTAAGTCGTGGCTACCGTTGTCTAAAGTCGTTTCTGCATGAAGAATCATGAAGTTTCTCAGTTTCTGCATGAATAAACAAGCAAAAAGCAAAAATGAAAAAACAACCTGAAATCGCGGGGGTGACGAGCGCTGCGGGGAAAAGGGGAAGGACACTCGGCCGACCCTCACCAGGGAACGGCACACTCCCCAAAACCGCCTCCCCCATTCACCAACAACCTTCTTAGTCGCACACGGTCCGTCTCCCTCAGTAAACTCGGGCATCGTTCCTTGCACCACACCCTCAACATGATATCCCTCGAATTCATACTTCCCTTTAGCACGCCCGCATGGAACGTCGTCCGACTACTTGGTTTGTCTGTTCTGGTTGACGTGCTCATCGCCGTGGCGTTGCGAAAAGCTGCGGCAAGGATTAATGCCCTTCGAGCACGCCGTGGAAAACGCGTTGCCCTGGCCCGAACTCGAGGAGGCCGGTTGACCCATCTACCGGGAATAGACCAAAATGCCACATGCTTACGTCTCTGTTTTTGGATCGTAGCAGTGGCCCTGGTTGGTCTAGCGGTCATGGCGGAGTTCGGCAATGTCGAAAGGGAAGTAGAGCAGGAAGTTGAAGTCGAGTTGGGAAGCATATATGAAGCTGTGAAGGGAGGTGTCCTAGCTGTTGATTTGCTTTCCGAAAACGAGCGCCCAGGAAAAGACTCTGGTATTAGGCTGTTCGGTCATGTGTTTGAGGTGAGCGGCTCCTCCCTCAAATATCCGACAGTAAATCACGAAGCGCCAGTCATCAAGGAGTCAGAGCAGATAAAGTGTGGGTCACATCTAAAAACTCAGGTCATTGCCGGTTTCGTGACCACGAGCTTTACAGACCGCGTGCTTATCAGGGCCATGCAAACGGGACTTGAATTCGAGAGGAGAACACCAGGCGGAAGTACCATCGTAGTGAAAATACTCGGCGCAATACCTTTCAATTGGTCTCGCTGTGAGGATGACGAGATCAAACGACAACTGAGGCCGTTGGGGAATCACCCAGATGTCCGCAAACTCGTATCTTTCCTTTCAGACATGGCACTCGGGTCTGGGTGGAACTCTGCGGTAGGCTTGAACAGCACAAGAGGCTCTATAATAGAGGACATTCCCATCAAGCTTGAAAGCGGCCCTGGCGCACTCGGTTTGCGAGCGGGTAGATATGTTCTCCGGGGCTGGGCAGACATTCAGAAGTTGATCTTCCGTTCGCTTGTCAGTGACAACAATATTTGGATGCAAATAGAACCAGACCGTCTCCGATTCGATCCTGAGGGAGTTGAACCACGGATGGAACGACTGCCAGTCAGGCAAGCAAGCCATATGGAACTTGAATTTAATTTACCCGATCTAAACCTGGAGTTCAAGAAAGTGGAATGGCATGGTAGCATCTCGATCGGCGCCGGATCCATATCTGAACTGGTAGAAGTATACAATACCGATCGGGGAGAGTGCGCGATGGGTCATGTAGTATGTTCTTGTCGACTGACTTTTGAGAACGGCACGTACCAACTACTTCAAGGATGGGCAGCGAAAGTTATGGACACTAAATTTCAGATGCGAAGGGTTGTGAACATAACACAATTTGATTTTAGCAATTTGAGACAGGCGAGAGACACAATGGTATACATGTCTCTCTTCAAGGCTTTTCCGGCCAAAAGTCTACGAGCCTCTGGATCGCGACCTTTGATCTTCGCAGTGGACACTGTCGACGCAGAATCGAGTGTTACGAGATTCCCAGTACTCCCTCTCGGAAAATTCCTCTCTCCTACGAACGAATTTGGATACGTAGAGCGGAATTTGGCACGAGCGGCGATCAATGTCTGGTTCATTGCCTCTGCGACTGGCTATGCCACGCTTTGGTTGATTTCTCTTGTGGTGTGTACATATTTAAGAAACGAAGAAGAAATTGATGAGGTCTCTTCGTTAGTGCGTGCACAGAACGAGCTTTTTGATGTGCCTATGGAGTGCAGATTGGCAAGCCGACGTCCTCGGAATTTTGGCATACATCATCATGAAAGTTCATACGGGGAACCTCGTCTGGGAACACTTGAGGAATGTGACGAACCTGCTCAGGTCCAGGACTTCAACAGCATTAACTCGCTGCCAAATGTCAGAGGCCGCTTCATGAGAATTCTGTTTTCTGGGGGTCATTTGCACCGTGCCGATGGTGTTTTCCACCGTGACAAATTGGCCACGGTAGAAATAACTGGTCCTCAAAGTCACGGCTAGCAGTAATATTTTCGAAGATTTGAAGATTGGGAACAGCAATGCGCAACATTTCGATATGACAGAAACTACTGCCGATAGCGACGACACATGTACAACGAAATTTAAAACGTGAAAATAGGGTTTTGATGCTAAACGTCCGGAAAATCTTACCAACAGCCGTTTTCACCATGGTCGAGACCGTCACGGTGAAAACCGCATTTTGACCACCGTGAAAAGGACCCGAAAATATGAATTCTCATGAAGCGGCCTCTGTCAAGCGTTGAATTGGTGGATGGCATCTGGGACAACCAACTTCGTCTGGCGAGCCGATCCGTCTCACATCAATCCCACCTTGTTTGTTGCCTGTGCAGTATGTACGGTAAAACAAGAAACGCAAATCAATAGAACGGCACAATACTGCACTACAACACAGAAGAATTGAATGAGGAGAGAAGGCTGTGGTGATTCCTTCATATGACTCCCAGTCATTCCTCTCTCATGTCGTTGGCCAACGGCACCTCCCCTTTTGCTCAGTCGTTATCAAAAAGGCGTAGCAAATTTTGTGGCAGACTGCACAGGCTAGTTCTCGTGAGTTTCAGCACTTCTCATAATTGGCATTTTCTCTCAAGTCAAAATGTCATGTGGCCAAGCAATTGTTTGGTAGATGCCCAGACATCGAGCGTGACCAGGATGACTAACTGCAACCCCCAAAAAACTTTCAGTATCCAATGATACTCGGGGGGCATCAGCCAGGGACATACTGCAGCAATTGCGGAGTTAGTCGGTGTGTCGGTCGCGTTTACTGTTGCTGCAGCCTGTGCCAGTTCCAAAAAGAGGAACGGCGAAAGGTCTATTTAAATTCTACTGTAAATACATTTCAATTAGCTTGTCCGTCAAGTCACGAAAACGCGTTTTTTGGCCGCGCGTTTGCTCATATTTTTCTACGCAAAATTTTCAGACAACGCGTTCGGCAAAACTCACAGCATACCGAAAACTGGGGGCATGTGAGTTTTCCACGAGTTCCACGTCCGCCTGATCACAGCAGTGCCTCATCGACCCATCTTGAAGGAAAACGAAGTGCGGTTTCCGTTCTTTTCATCAGCACAAACGAGTCTCAGATTGCACGGGCCGCATCGATAAACGTCATGGACGCCCCAAACGCTTCATCTGCGCAGAGTCCATCAACGGATCAAAGCGCGACAGAATCTGCCACAGATGCCGCCGAAGCAACTGCGAAACATAGACAAGTAGAAGCTTCTAAATAGCGGTCCTCTCCAAACCCCCCTCAGCCTGTCAAGAAGACGACACACATCGCTGTTTCGACTGAGAACCTTTCTATCTTTGTGGCGAACTACAATATTCGCTTCAGCAAGTATTCGCGCAGGTGCACGTGATCCGTCGGGCGGCACAACGACGCGTACTATACCAGAATTGCGTATGTTGCGGGCAGGTACCTTGCTGGAGGTCAGTCCGCAAAACTCGTGGCGGAATTTTTCAATCTCGGGTTTACTTTACGTCCAGCGATTTTGTGGGCAAATGAAAAAAAAAAAAAAAAAAAAAAAAAAACAGCGCGTTATTTTACGGATAACCTTTAATAATCCTTCGTTATTCATGCGACGGTCCGTCATCCTTCGTAATTATTGCGACGGCTACAATAGAGAGGGGTGAACCGGCTCTCGTTCAATAAACGTGACGCTGCAGTAAGCAGAGTGGCAAGAGAAAACTCTCACATTGAAACTTCAACAGAAACAAGCGCAGCAACCGACAACGTGTTTAGGAACGATCACTGGCATGATGCACTAAAGCATAGAAGGTGGGAGATAGAAGAGGAAATATGACGGAGCGCGAGAGCATGGGCATGCGGTGCTCTGGTAAGGTGAGGGACAGTCGTGCGCCTGAAAAGAAGAAAAATAAAAGCGAGAGGTCAGAACGAGAAGAATTGGCCATATTGCAAAAAACCTAGCGTTCAAGTGCAGATGATATTTAAGAGAGAGACAAATGCCTGCACGTGTGTCTCATACCCGGAAGGATAGAATGCGGCCCTGCGTTTTTACACTGCGCGGCTCGGAGGCCCATACGTTCAAAAAGGCGATCATACTTCTACAAGCTTGATGACGTGAGAAGACTACGTCATGGATAGATAACCTTTCGGCAATCGCCAAATCTTGAAGTTTTGATATTATGACTTCGCAGCTCATACAACTCCTCCTTGAGTCTCTGCCAGGCAGGGTGAAGGTCTGTACATGCAACAAAAATTGGCGTATCTATCCCGCGAGCGAACTATCAGAAAAGAATGGTTTGTGAGAATACGTGGATGAGAGGGACGTCTCAGATCTCTCGCCATCTGATATGGACATCCTGAACGAAAAGAAATAAGACAGAAATAGACGAAAATGGTCAAAACGCCAAGTCTTTATTTAGTACAGTCTAGCACGAATCGATTATCAAAGATCACAATTTTCAAGAAAACAAATAGAGGATAGGCGACAAAGACAATCTAGCAGCTGTGCCCATAAACATTAAGAACAAGTATATCAAGAAGAACCACTCTACCAGACGAACTTTTACTGAGCATAGAGTGGGTCTTTTTGTTCACGTGTACACATGATTCATCCAATATGCTCGGCTTCTGCCGATTCACTCTAGTGTCTAGATGAAAATATATGGTAGGGCACGATTCAGTGTAGGTTGATGGTCGTGAAGCATAGACAAAGACATGGTTACTCAGTGAAAATAGTGTGAGTACTGTGGATCTGGAACGAGATTGGATCGATAAAGAACTGTAGAGCTGGAAAGGCTGTTCTTGTTGGTGTTCCTTTATTGTGGTTCACCCTTTCACTTTGTAAGTGTATACCATCAACTGTGAGAACTAAGGTACCAATTTATGAAGAGCGCATTGGAGAGCAGTCTTGAAAGCCATGTGAAGAGATTTCACACATGACATTTATGATGTGCTCTCGTTGCCTGAATATGTCACACTCATAGTCATCATCATGAGCACCGTGATAACACCTCAAGTCATTGAATCACTACGCGATCTAGAGTCTCCACTAGCACGATTATAAAAGTTGTACTTGTTGAATGCGGGATATTTGGTCCAAGATTGGTGCCTACTGCAAAGCTTTGCGGTTTCGAGCATACACGACTGCTTGACGTTCTTAAAATTTATTCGGGGATTGGGTTCTTTGATTCCAGCATGAAACCTTTTCAAGCAGCGCATCATCATTTTAAATTTTCAGTCCTCACCGAAACCAATGGGTCACATCCAGCACAGTCACATCTACGCTTTCCCTTCAGCACCGGCTGCTCTGAAAGTCTCAAACTGTACTCATTCCGCACAAAAATACCTTGCGGAAAGGGGGATACTGGCGGAAGCTATGAGTTAGTTACCGGTGGAGATCGGATCTTGTGCCTGAGCTTTCCCTTATCTTCTTTATACAGCATTTTCATGGCTTACTTTGAGAGTGAACCCCTTTCTGAAGATATACACTAATGTTGTCCTCGCATGAACATCATGCCACTATTTTTCCGCCGCGCAGTTGGTTACGTGCAATGGTGGATAGGAGGAGGATGCGAAGAAGCAGGGTTCGGTTGAGGAATATGGTTTCTTCTACGCTAGTATGTAATATGAAATAGACCTTTGACGTTCGAGAGTTACCTCAGTTGTTAATTTACCTGGATTAGACTCTCCATGTTGGCACCCACTGATAGTGTCGTGATGTTGTTTAGCTGAAGCAGGTTTTAGTTAGGGGTTCTCCTGCATCCTTTGCTAATGGGAATCCCCTAAGATCAACCCCGAGCGAAGATCTGCATCATCATATCGATCACGCAAACAGTCTCCGACAAACCTCAACTACCCATATGAACATTTTTCCAATCCTTATTCTACTATTGCTTGGCTAATATTCTTGTATATTATGGTGTTCTACAGTAGTTAGCGGCGACATAGAATATCAAGTGGCAACCTGCTTTTACACACTTCTGAAGGAAATTAGTGAAAAGGTGTGAAAAGTCACCTCAGCACGACCGGACGGGCAACCTCCCGCAAAACCAAAAAAAGGCATTGCTCGGACGTTGATTCACACTTACTAGCAAAATTGCTTCCGTTCTTTCGCGAGGTGCATAATACCATCGAGAACGGGTTTGACTCAAAAAAGGTTGACCCCCTTTTACAGGCGTATCGGGCCAGTTAGTACCCGTTGTGAGACCTTGCAATGCCGAGAGAGCATGTAAGGAAGCCTCTGATTACATGTTTGGGCTCTCACAAACGGTTGCGCCCCTTTAAGAACAGAGAGTTTCCTTTTTTTGTGATCCTATCTACGTCTTAATAAAGCCATAGGGCATGAGAGCGAGGAAGGGAGCGATTCCATGCGTTTATAAGACTAACATTCAGGACCTCGTCTTCTTCAAGTCAACAGGAAAAGACAGTGCGAATTGAATTCCGCATTAATTCTATTTTAAAGTGATCACCTTCTTCCAAACCACGTACAACCAATTATGGATCGCCTTGGAGAGCTAATGGCCGCACAACACGACGTACAAATCATGCGTGACGAGCTAACAGAAGCAGAGTTACTCCAAGTGACATACTTTCCTCCCAGGCATGGGCCGAGTGAGCCAGTAGATGAGACGGAAAGTCCCCAGGCCTCTACGACAGACAAGATCTATGAGTTTTCAACCTCCCTAGCTACTGCATACTCCAAACCCCAAAGGTCAATTTGCAAGACTCAAGTCGACGATGGCGTCAACTGCCGCGATGTGGCAGAGATATTGCGATACTTTGGGGAGGCTCTGCAGAACCAAGAGGCTATCGAAGCAACAGTGTTGAACGAAACCCCGTCTGGAGTGCTATTCCCCGTCGTTGACCATGCAGAGTTTCGGATACCGGGTGAATGGCCTGTGGAAGAAAACATTGTCGAGGGCCTGCCGCCGATCACAAGTCTAACGGGACTGCCTTTGAGCTGGGACCCGTTCCAAGAGGAACTGATTGACGCAGGTGCTGTTGATATGGGGTTTTTGGA